AATCTCTTGTTTTCCCTTAAGTGGATTATGTTGTGATGCAATGGACTTTCCATCATTCGTTTTCAAGAAAGGAAAAAAAAAAAATACACAAGGTTTTGGCATTTTCGGTGGGGTGTTTTTTGTATTAAATTAAATTTTATTTATTTATTTTTTTTGTAGGTTTCAACAATTTGGGTACTGAAATGATTAAGTATTAGAGTTTTTCTAGGATAATTGATGAGAAAATTTGTGAAGAATAAATTACCGAAGAAAATTTGGGAAGAATATGCAAGTTGTGACAACTATATTTTAGACTTACCATTGCAAGCCAAGAATAATTTATATATTCATAATTGTTGTTTTGTTTTTGAGATGTGAACTTATTTGTCCAAGTTCAAAAAAAGAAATATTTAAAAGACAAGAAAAAAAAAAAATAGAATAGTTTATGATGTATTACAATATTACTATGTCTCTACAAATATATATAAAGTGGTTTATATGATAGCACATTATATCATATTTCATTTCTACACTTAAATTATTCAACTTAATATTTTTTATAATTTTAAGAAATTTTAAATGTAATTTTTTTTTCAAGGATTTTTTTTATTTTTTATCTCGTGCATTATGCACGTGCACTTTTGCTAGTATATATAGAATACATGTTTGAAAATATAGTACTAAAAAACTTCTCAATTGGATAATATTACAAATAAACCATGCATTTATTAGTGAGAAAAATTAAATTATTTATTACATATATCATTAATGGAATAAAAAATAATGAATATATTTGCATATGGATTTAAATAAATAAAAAAATATAAAACATATATGTTATGACCTTATATATAATTTTATTTAAACCTAATATACAGACGCTCTCAAGACGCTCCCACTTTAAATTTTTTTAGATTTTGACGCTTTGGCTCCCGCTCTCACACTTACTCCCGCTCTATGTACCTTAGGGTGTGTGTTTGTTTGAACTTGAAAGGAAAAAAAAAAAACTAATATATTATTATTTTGGGTCAGAATTAAACAAATGGAGAGGGTAAAAAGTTTTATAACTCTTTCAAAGTAGAAAGTTAATGATTCAAAGTAGAATTTAATTTTCCTCAAATTATTAAATATGCCTGCCGAAAAGTATGAATCAAGATATTAAAAAACTAGACAGATAAACCACTTCATTCTTAAAAAAAAGAGTTCTTAATAAATATATAGCTATAAATTACAATCAAAACATAAAAAAAGAGGTAAAATTCAAGAAATGAACAATCAAGTCATCTTAAAAGCAAGAACAATGTGATTTTTAAATAAAAATCAATAATTATTATATTGAGTCGATCTTGGCTCACTTCATTTGCAGCCCAAAGGTAATAATGGTGGTGGTGAGTCGGCCCAAAGGTAATAATGGTGGTGGTGCTATAAATAACAATCAAAACATAAAAAAAAAGGAGGTAAAATTCAAGAAATGAACAATCAAGTCATCTAAAAGCAAGGACAATGTGATTTTTAAATAAAAATCAATAATTATTATATTGAGTCGATCTTGGCTCACTTCATTTGCAGCCCAAAGGTAATAATGGTGGTGGTGAGTCGGCCCAAAGGTAATAATGGTGGTGGTGAGTTGATCACGGTAGGCAACTTCTTTCCTGAAAAAAGGGCAAGATGCTACTGAGAATGTAATAGTGAGACACTCCCACTTTATATACTTAGTTACAGCAATGTAACATCTTCTTATGGTTACATCCTCAATATTTGGGTAGAATACCATTTGCTTACCGTCTACAAAATGAAAAATTGGTTTTAATAGATCTGAAAGAAAAGGAAAACATAACCTTAGCTGCAACATTATTCTCTGATTCCATTCATTCTTTGTATGTCTAATGATAACTTTCCTTTTGTTCCCTTTTGTTTTTCTTCTCTTTTCCCTTACTACCAAATGAGGAGCATAAATTTTAAATTCCCTTCCCTTCCTTTTCTCCTCACCCTTCTTATTTTTTCTTCCCCCCTTTCTCTATCTATCTATCTATCTATCTATCTAAATTTTCTCTCAAATTTCTTTTTAACCAAACAAAAGAAAACAATAATTTCTCCTTCATTCTTTCCCCTTATGGGAATGCGAAGTGGACTTCACTTCTTAAGTGAAGGGATTTTAGCTTGGCGGGAGTACGGTAGGGGCAGAGGGAATTTCCGGTTCTTTTTCTTTGAAGTCTCCCAATAAAACATCCTCCTTTCCTTTCTCTCTTCCACCATGCTAAATTTTACTGTATTAGGTAATCAAGTATGGACACTGAAAAGATAAACTTACTGGTCGTGTTGTGTTAAAAAAAGTACATTGTCTTTGATTCATAAAATTTATTTTCAGTCATTATCTCTATTTGTTTACGTGGATTTGCGGTTTGTTTTTGAAAATTATGTTTTGATATTCTTTCAAGCTTCCTTTAAGAAGCTAATTTATGCCCAATGGTACCATGTTTTGACTATGGAAAAGTTTGAGCAGCTCGAGTTTCTAATCTATTTTGGTGAAAGAGGATCTGAAAGAACTCCTTTGAGACAGGCTGCTCCATTTTTTGCAAATTCAGATCCCGACATGCCTGCTGTTCCTGTTCCTGCTGCACAAGTTCATGTTTGGCTTCTTCAGAACATAACTTCTGCTTTGGAACGTATATCTGAAAGAGTTTCTGCAAAAGAAAATGGGCCATCAGGTACCTCTGATCAGGATGTTCCAATGACCGAGTCAGGGACTGCAAGAAAATTTTATTTCTATATATAAAATAAAATGAGGTCTGTAAGCATTAAAACCGCTGTAGCACATTGGAAATTTCAATAGTGAAAAAAAAAAAATATATGGGGAAAAATGAAATTCGGTTTTTTATTTTATTTTTTCAAATTTCAGCCAATGTAGAGGTTGATGGGCCTTATTATTACTTTTTCATTGGGCTTTACTTCTTACACCCAGCTAAAAGCCCAATAATTCATTTTTTATTTTGAAATGAAATGAGCCATAAATAATAAATATATATTTTTTTTCTGTGAAAAAAAAGGAAGAAAATGGAGTCTATTGACATTCACTCTAGTCTAATGAGAATGTGCGTACATACTTGTAATATTCATGTTTGTATTCATACATCTATGTACATAAGCTGTTCATTATAAATTCACTTCTATTATCTCTTGATTGTCCTAGATAATAAATTAACATGAATAAATTTAGTTGGCATATTTTTAGTCTTATTGGTAGAAGTAATGATCTTTTAGTTGGCACATTCGATTCACTTTATATATATATATATAGAGAGAGAGAGAGAGAGAGAATTAAAAAAATAAAATAAAATAATTGGACAATAATTTCATAAAAATTAAGACGCCAAAAGTCGATTTTAGCTGGAAAATGATTATTGGAATTAGCTTTGATAGCTTGAATTTAACCTCAATTTCTCAATCGAGCCTGAAATGTCGACTCTTAATAGACTAATAAACTTGTAGTGGTTATAATATCAAGTAGAAAACTCAGTTATAAAAAAAACTTGTTTTTTAGAGAACAGTCTTTTATAGTTTTTTAAAAACTATTCTCTATTTTCTGAGTTTCTGAAAACTGTTTCCAGACAAATCAAGCGTGCCCTCTTCTTTTTACCAGGTTTGCACAGGCTTAATCCTTGAAAAACCATAACCAATAAATGCTCTACAAGGAGTAGACAAATAAGTTCAAACAAAAATATGACAACCTTTGACATTAGAGTAATAATATATAATATATTCTCTCGGAGTTCACATAATCACATTTTTTCTTTATTTTTCCTCTTATCTTGTATAGTTAAATCTTTGAGTTTATAAAAGTGCAAAATTAATCACCTTCCTTAAAGTCAAAAATTTTCAGTAGTAGTAAATGAACTAATGTATTGTTAACCCATCAATTCTATTTTAGATGAGACAAGTTCCCCTCAACCTTTTGAGGAGGTTGAGTGTTAGGAAAAAAAAACTAATATATTATTATTTTGGCTCAGAATTAAACAAAATTCTAACACTGACAAATTTTGACATTGAATAAAAAGCAAATCGTGAGGGTAAAAATCTTTATCTATATTTCTTTCTGCTTAGAACCGTAACTTAACTTTTTCACTTTCAAAGTAGAAAGTCAATGATTCAAAATAGAATTTAATTTCCCTCAAATTGCTAAATATGCCTGTCAGAAAGCATGAATCAAGATATTAAAAAACTAGAGATAAACCAATTCATTCTTAAAAAATGGAGTTCTTAATAAATATATAGCAACAAATAACAATCAAAACATAACCAAAAAAAAAAAAAAAAAGGTAAAATTCAAGAAATTAATAATCAAGTCATTTAAAAGCAAGAACGGTTATTTTTAAATAAAAATCAATAACTATTATAATGAGCTGATCTTGGCTCACTTCATTTGTAACCCTAAGGTAACAATGGTGGTGGTGAGTCGGTCATGGTAGGCAACTTCTTTCCTGAGAAAACGGCTAGATACTTATGAGAATGTAATACTTAGACACTCCCACTTTATATATATACTACATTGAGTTACAACAATGTAACATTTTTTTTCTGGTTACATCCTCAATTTAAGGTTAAAGTGCATAAAACCCCCCTGAACCAATTGCACAAAATCCCCCTGAATTAACAAGTGCCTCCTAAACTATGATAAAGTTGCATTTAGGGATATCAGGTGAGGTCAACGGAAACTACACCGTAGTGATATCGTCTTAAATTAGTTGATGACGTGTCAAATAAATCATAATCATTCAATAGAATTGTAACAACACATCACTAACTTATCACCTCATCCTTATCACCAAACCACACACATTTTGGTGTTGGAAACGGAGCAAATAACACATAAACTCGGTGTTTTGAATAACAACACTTTGCTGTTGAATAACCCCTTTAGATGGTCCATTTTGTTAAAATCTCTCACACAGTAATGACAAACAGGGGTCACAAAAAAACCCCTAGCTTGAAGATTACATTAGAAAAGGGAGTTTATTCTGCAACGGAAGGCAACTAGTGAAACAAGCAGCAGCCCTACCCCTATTCCAAACCATCCCCGATCATTCATTTTCCGGACTTTCCTTCTGCAAAACTTCCAGAATGTTCAAAATTTCACAGCACCGGCCAGGTTTCCATTTCACCCTGTCATCCAACCCCAAAAATTGACGATAGTATGAATCAAATCTAACCTCGTTCCTCTCCTCCTCCTCTCTGTCTCTCTATATATATACGTATATATACACACCCCTATGTCCTCCCACAATAGCAGAAGAGCTGCAGTGAAAGAAGATTGCAGTTTTATACTACTAACATGTTCTTGGCATTAACCATCTACTCTCAATTGAAGTGCGCAACACGAACTCTGTGGCACTTAGTAATTTATTCTATGGACATTTCTTCAAATTCATCATCCTGATGTATGAAAATTTATTGATCAAATGCCAATGCAGTCAAGAACCTGATGCTAGCTTCAAATCAAGTAACAGTGGCTTCGAGTAGAATGAACAGGAAAATGTATAAAGCAATATACAGACCTTGGTCCTTCTATCTGGTGAACAGGAAAATGTATAAAGCAAGAACAAGGAAAACAAAAACCCCTTCAAAACGTGTGCACGCCTTTTCTTGTGGATTAGGACTCTGCACTCCACATGAAACCTTTATGACAATCCCACCAGCCACTACTCAACTACACCAAAGCCCTCATTTTTTCCAACATTATATATATGTTCTCTGTCACACTAACACTATATGCCCCACTCTCTCAGTGGCTACTTGTTTTTCCATTTCGCATCTCATACCTCTTCCGTCGATTTCGGTGAACAGGTTAGCACGGCGTCTGCCACGGTGAGGAAGATCTTGTCCTCACCAATCACATTGGCAAAATCGGATGCGTGTAGCTTGTCAATCACCACTGGCCCTGGATTTGCCAGAACAAGCTGCACAACAACGCGAAGACTTTTGTAAGGTGACTTTTCTAAATCATTTCTAATTCCATAGATGATAACATATGAAACAGAGGTTAGTAATATAGTAACCTTAATATCTCTCTTTTGGAGACTCGTGTGTAGCTCTTCCAAGGCATGGATGCCACTGGTGTCAATGTCATTAACGGCTGGAAGGAACACAAAAAGCGATTAGCATATGCTTCTAAGTACAGGCAACCATAGTAAAAGTATGCTTGCAAATACGAATATGGCGTTAACTTCCGGGAAAAAAAAAAAAAAAAAGGAATATGACGTTTGTGAACCGCGTAAACAGTACTTACGTGACATCTCAACAATCAAAAATTGTATTTTAGGTTGGTATGCTGCTTTTAATTGCTCTTCTTCGTCAGTCAACCATCTCAATATCCTGCAGGATGGTTAATTTTTAGACTAAAGCCACTTGAACTTTAACCAACTTAAAAAGACCCTAGCTATAGTATCCCATCATAATTCTCAGAAGAGTGAGCTTTCTAGGTGGAGGCAAGACTATTTTCAATAGATATCATTTCACAAATTTTATGTACAAATTTCTAAGCAAAAATATTAGCTTGATTGGAACTTTAGATTTAAATTAATATGGTGATAATCCAAAACTTCGTAGATACGCAACATGATTAGTGGGTTTTTTCTCTTTCGAATCATGATTTGAAGAGAAAGCTGAATAAATTAAGTATAACAGAGAAGTTAAAAAGCATCCTTACCTCTCCTTGAGATAGTTGGAGTTAGAAAAGTAGATTGCAGAATCAACTCTCACAATCAAAATGCCCGGAACCTTAGATGCTTCTGGATATTGTTGGATGTTCCTGTAAACAGTTGTCCCGCGAATCCTCCCAAGAAGAGCTGTCCTTGGCCTTGTAACTTGGAGGAGGATTTTAGCGAAGGATATTGCGACCTATCATAACAAACAGGGGAAGCACATCCAATTCAATTAGGCTAATCACTTTCAGTCGACAAAAGGAATTTATGAAGATCAGTAAATACACCAATTCTTACCGCAATCAAGAGACCTATCTCAACATTGACAAAAATCACACCAAGAAAGGCTCCCATGCAGGCAACGAAATCAAATTTATCGATCTTCCATATCAAAATTGTTGCCTCATAGTCGATCAGGCCAAGGACTGCAGATATAATGATGGCAGCAAGAATGGCATTTGGGGTATACTTAAATAGGGGTGTGATGAATAATAAGGTTAGGAATACCATGAAGGACATCACAATGTTCGAAACTGCAGTTTGGCAGCCAGCCATGTAATTAACTGCCGAGCGAGAGAAGGAACCTGCAAGTGATGAGCAGATATTATCAATAATCGTTTGAAATTTGTTACGCATGCTCCCATTCATTTGTGACTACCAGAAAAAGGTTTAAATGATAAATACTCATTGATTTGATTAAATATTATTTCTTTTAATTTCAAATTTATTAATTTATTGAAGTAGACATTGATATATCTCTATGCTTCCTTCCAACCAGTTGCCACATAGCAGGATGTCATCGAGCCAACAATATTCATTGTTCCTAGTGCCACCATTTCTTTGTTTCCGTCCAGCTGATAATCCTTCATGGAAGCAAATGTTCTTCCAATTGCCACAGCTTCCTGATAAAATATTACCATTCCACAAAAAAGGAGGGGAAAAAAATAGTAATGAATAAGTGACTTAAATGCAGGATATGACAAACAAAAATCTCTTAATAACACCAGATGGAGTGCAAATCCGACTCACCGTTAATGCTATCATACCAGCCACGACACCGATCTTAAAACCTTTTATAACATATTTTCCGGAAAAATATATTTCATTCACGGATGAAGGATTAATTCCTTTCTCTATATGCTTCACCTGCGATCATCAGTAAAAAATTAAAAATATTAGTTCAGAAGTTCAGAATATAGGAAAAGGTAAGTCGTAAGACTTTAGTACTTACAATTTGAACACCTTGCTTGTCTGCACGAGTGATGTATACAAAAAAGGTGGACAGGATGACAGAGATCAATGGAGCAATTGCTGGTACCCAAAAAAATTTATGGTTCTTCTTTCCCTGTTTATTATTAAATCATGTGAGAGTTGAAATATATGTTTTACAATTCTACTGAAATTTAATAAAAATAGGGTCTTACAATGTACTTCGCAAATAGAAGAAACGCCAAAAAGACCACTCCAATTACTATAGTCTGCCAGTTCCACTGCAAAATGTTGTACATATATTTGACTTAGTAACACCTAACTGAACACATTGGTAGAAAAGGGCATGGGCATGTAGACATGTCTACCAAGATATTGTAGCCCTAGTCGTGTGTGTATATGTGTGTGTGAGAGACACAGCTTACTCCATGATGAACAGAACCCCACACTGATTTCATTACAGAAACAATATCAGTTTTCTTTGTGAAATTCGTGATTCCAAGAAAACCTTTGAGCTGTTGGAGAGCGATTGTAATGGCAGCTCCACCCATGAATCCAACAATGGCAGCATGGGATAGGAAGTCAATTAAGAAACCCAATCTGGTATCAAAAACCCAAACCACCATCAGAATATGATAGGTGAAAAATGTAAAACATAAGAGGAACAATAGTTGATATAATGTCTGACATTTTGAGGAACAATAGTAGAAGCATGTTCTTTGTTACCTGAAAAACCCAAGTGTAGCTTGAGTGATCCCGGCAAATAAAGTAGCTGTAAATGCAAGTCGCCGATATTCAGCTGCATTTGTAGTGGGATCAATCTCGTTCTCGAGCAAAGTTCCTAACAAGAGTGACACCACGGCCACCGGCCCTATGGCTATATCGCGTGAACTACCCATGACGGCATAAATCAATGGTGGAACAAAGCTGGAGTCTGTAGAAAAACAAAGAAAAATTCTCAGCAAAAAAATAATAATTTTTTTTTTTAATAAATCTAAAAGAGGTGTTATAAGGCAATGCTACTTGTTGATTAGTATGAAAACTTACACAACCCATACTGGGGAGCCAAATTCGCAAGCTTTGCATACCCGATATCCTGTTTTCCAAGTTAATGAATTGTTAGAAATGTCTAAATGTGAAAAGTAATGTGTTTTCTTGTACATATTTAAGTATTTCTTAGAGATACATACCTGAGGAATGCAGAGGCTTGCAATGGTGAGTCCTGCAATGAGATCCCCTCTAAATTTTGTTAAATTATAACCTCGCCCCCATTCAAGAATGGGGAAAATGGTCTGCATGCCTAGGGTGAATTTTCGAGACCGTGATTGATCCTTGAAGGCACGCAGAGGATCATCAGCGAAGAATGTTTCCTTCACAGTGGCCGTGAACTCCTTCAAGAGGCTTTGCTTAGGGGGAACTCCCACCTTGTGAATTCTAGGAAAACTCTGTTCAGAGGGTGACAAGCTTCTAATGTCCATCTCTCTCAAATTAAAAAGGACTAGTAATTCACCTGTAATGCGAAAAATGGAAATTGTTTTGATCAGAAAAGAACACAATGCTCATTTAAGTGTAATCTTGTAATAGAACAAAATATTATAATCATGCATTAAGAAATTAATACGAACATTGTTAGGTTCCTTAAAAAAAAATAAAAAATATCAAACCCCCCAAGGCTTGTAGGTTATTTTTTTTAATTTTTTTTTTGCCCTTTTGGCCGAGGAAAATCATATTCATTGCGAAAGCTGATTATAATAAGACTTCAAAAGCAACAATATACTATAATGAAGTGCGTAGTCAATGAAAAACAATCTAACCTGTACAAAGTGAACGGAATGAAGTGAAAGGAGGGTTAATAATGCTTCAGGTGTGCAAAGGCTTCTTGAACATTGAATGAGTTTGGGAAGCTCTTGCTTATATACATTCCCAGACAAGTTATAGATAACTCTCCAAGCAGGAAGAGAGGATTAACAACATCACTCACCTATGAACCTGGATATCTTTGATGTCATATACATTGTCGACAAATTTTAGGGGTGTTGTTGTATTTTACATTTTTTTATATTTTAATTTTATTAAATTAAATTATCGAATATAAATGATGTGGGATCCATATTTTGATTTCATTTAATCATATTAAATGATTCTCTCATACGTCAATCATTACTATTTTGATTTGACTGTGTTACTCATCAAGCATGATGAAAGTAAATTTCATACTACCTATGTAAAACAAAATTAATTAGGTCGCCAAAGAAATAAAAAAATACATTGTTTTTTTAAATCGAGTAGGCACAAATTGATTACCGGAAATATCATGCTCTGTGCTAGGTCGACTTATGCTGGTTCGTTTAAAATGTTCAAATTGGCACATGAGTTGGTTGGTAGGACCCATCATACTATGTGCTTTATATACGCACAAAATTAAAGCCCAAACATAAAAGATTAGATGATTGCACAAATTATCAAATTTATTGATAAGGTAAAGATGAATTAGTACAATTTTCTATAAATAATCTTTACACAGAATCCATAAATGGGCAATATTTAGTAAAATCTTTTTGTTTTACCTTTTGACTTTTCATTTATTGACAAAAAAATTAAAGAGGTAATCTCAATGTCTGAGGCTAAGTCAACACAATCATTTTTAACATGTGTCGTTTTCACGATTTAAATTTGTTGCTTTTGCACTAGTGCTTTAGAATTCGTTCTCATTCCTACTCCTACTCCAGTTGTATGTAACTTAGGTCACAAACTACATAAAAACTCACATGTCACTTGTGATTAGTTTACTTGTAACAATTGTTGGATATAAGTAGTAAGTTAGAATTGGTGTTGTTTGATAAAATTGAAAATTAAGTACTGAAAATTTCAAGTACTGAATTTTAAAAGTACTGAATGTATTAATTTGAAAACCTGTTTGATAACGTTTTAATTTTAAGCGCTAAATTCATTAAGATTGTTTGTTATATACAAAAACTAAAGTCTGAAAATTGTACATATTATATTTTTGCCCTTAATATCTAATATTCATAACAGTTTTATATTTATAATACAAAAATATTAATAAAACAACCACGTTCACTCAATCAAATATATCAATTTAACAATAAATATTAATGTCAAATATTAATGACAATTGCGATTAGTTTACTTGTAACAATTGTCGATATAATTATCAAATTAGAAAAAAAAATAAAAAAACACATTCACATTTTTTTATTTTAACAAAAAACAAAAAAAAAAAAAAAAATACTTTCACATTCTCACACAATCACTTATCAGAAATTTAAATTCATCCATTTTTTAAAAAACAGGTGAAGAAATACCGATAAAGTACTAAGTTATAAACTTAGCTTACTAATTTTTAAGTGGGTTGGATCATTAGATGATGTGATTATCTATTTAAAATTACATAGTTTCAAACCATCACAATTAGCGACATAAATAAAAATAAAAAACGCTTAACACATTTATTAATAAAAATAATTTCTCAAAAAATTTATAATGCTCTGCTTGGAGCTAAAAATTTATGAAATCTTTTTCATAAAGAGAGAAAAGCAGGTGGACTGTGATGGCTTATACTTTTGTCACAATCTGCAAAACACAAAGAAAATCCAAGGAATTTAATTGTGGCTTATGTTTTCGTGTCCTAACCATTCAAACTTTTGGATAAAGTATAAAAACATCTTTTGAGATTTGTTAAAAGAACATTAAAATGAAAATTTGTTTATTTTTGAACAATTACACCCTTTGGGAAAATTTGCCATCCAAATTAACCTAACACCCAACCAATCTTATAACCCTACAACCAGATTCTTGCGCGCCACCGCACCAAAATCCACAACCACCACCATCCCCACCCCAAACCACCGCCACCATTTCCACCCCAACAATCACTCCTGCGTATTTCGGCATGATCTAACACTGATACCACCACGCCGCCGCCGCCTCATCATGATTCTAAGTGGAGCCCAAAAACAGAGAAGAACCACCCAAATTCATCCCCCACCCCCAAACCACCGCCACCATCTCCACCCCAACAACCACCCCTGTGTATTCCGGCATAATCTAGCACCGATACCACCATGCCCATGCCGCCGCTGCCTCATCATGATTCTCAGTGAAGCCCAAAAACAGAGAAGAACCACCCAAATTCTTCCCCACCCCCAAACCACCACCACCATCTCCACCCCAACAAACACCCTTGCATATATATACACGATTCAGAAAAGGGAAGAACTCGAGCTTTGGAGAGAGAAGCTCCAAATGGAAGTCAAACGGCGAACGGCGAGATCTCTGGTAACGAAGCTGAGCTCAGTATCGAAACAAACTCGAACCAAAGCTCTCTGCGAGCTTCATCTCATCTCCCAACACGACCCGAGTCGATCTCTGATCGACGGAGAAGGCGCAGTACCCTACATCGCCGAAACCTTCTACTCTCTCTCTCTAATATCCCAAGAAAACGCCACCGCCACCCTCCTCAACCTCTTCATCTCCAACCGCGAAGCCCTAATGTCCACCCGCGGCCTCCACGAAGCCCTAATGTTTGACTGCAGTCATTTGGGGCAAGATTGAGTCCGGCAAAGACAGCCCCAGGTTGAGTCCGGCGAAGACAAACCCACTCCGGAGATGCCGAACTAACAGTAGATCAATGACTACGGGCCTGAAGAGCTCGACCATGTGGAGAAGAACTTGCCCGGTACCAGTGGCTTCGATGATAGCGGGCTCGGTGTGCTTGATCCTCCTCTTTCCATTCTCTCTCCTCTCCACCCATCATCACCGCCATAGATACATAAATATATATACACAGTGGTGAACTGTATATATACACAGGTTGTCTCTAAATAGAAATTCCATAAGTAAAGGGAGTCAATCGACTTTCTTTAACTGCACTAGTGCTATTGATTCCTCAAATGAATTTGACCAAAGCAACAATCCAAGCTTGGTGCAATAGGGAATAGGAGTGGAAATGGGTCTCGCTGTGGGTTCGGGTTAGGGTTTGAGATGAGTTTGGGTTATGGTATTCAAGTCAATTAAAATGTTAATTTTACTTTAAAGAGTATCATTTGTCTTTTTTTTAAATTTTAAATTTAGAAGGTGTTATTGTCTAAAAATAAATGGTGTGCTTTTGACAAATCTCATAGAGTGTATTTGTACTTTATCCAAAACTTTTTATACTGGTGACCCAGGCAAAACAAAAAATAGGTGGGTCAGGTCTAGTAGTCTATGACAAATTGAATCTAGACGCGTTCAATTTAACATCCAATTTTGTTGACCGTCTTGTTGGCGGAAGACACTGCAGTTCTAGAGAGAGAAAGCTCACTGAACAGAGAGGAGGAGAGAGATAGAGAGGGGGAGATGAGATACACTAGAATTTAAACTCTGAGAAGGGAGAGAAAAAGCTTAAAGAGGAATATTATTAAATTCAAATTAAAGGAGTTTTATATTTCTGTAATTAACTAAGTTTGCCTAATAAAGCATCATTAACTCATTAAGTTACTAAAATCACATCTGATTCTAAATGTATGCTAAATTATCTTTGACTAACTTATTTAATTTGATTTGCTTTTAGTATATGTCGACATAAATTTTATGATGGAATAATTTTTCATAAAAAATTAAAAATTATTCCATCATAAATAACTAAATATTTATGATTTTAAACGTCATCGTTGTTCTTTTTTTGTTTTTTATTTTTTATTTTACTTTCAGAAGTATAACTAAATATTGATTGTAGAGCAAATTAAGAAAAAGTTGTTCATTTCGTTCTGCCCAAATATGGTAAACCATTGAAGATATGTAATATGTATATCACTGTAGGTCATCCCAGTTGCGAATTGAAGTGTAGAAATTGCAGACATGACAATTTTACTTTCTCACCAAACAATGCCATGTTCATTCCCCAATCCTTAATAATAAAATAAATAAATAAATAAATAAATGAAAAGAAGTGTGTCTATAGTGAAGTGGACGCATGATGGAACTTCACACTGTGGACACTCATCCGTGGTAGTACTTTTGCAGCATGATGTCAATATATCCGGCAACTTATACTATATATGAAATGAATATTTAATTTGATAATATATTACTCGTAATATTCAAATTGAATTATCTCTCGTGAATCAAATATCTATTATTCTATCTATTTAAATACTTCTCTTTTATTTTATGTGATACATACAAAAAATATATACTATTTACTAACAACAAATACTATATATATATATGCCATTGCACACACACACAATGTAAATATGTATTTGTTGCAGAGAGAGAGAGAGTACACCAGAGAGTGAGCGAAAAAGAGTAGAGGAGAAGCACTATAAATGATCATGTGAGCACTTCACAGTTCACATGTATATACACGTACACAATAGTAACAAAATTAATTCGGTGGAAATATCATGATCTGTGCTAGGTCAACTTATGCTCGTTCATTTAGTATGTTCTGTCATGACCGAGTATAACTGATGTA